TCTGTTAAGCAAATATAACAAGATCAATTTATTCAAAATTGGTTTAGTGACATAAATAATTCAACAAAAGAACAAAATTAGAGAATCTTTAAACAAAACTTTGGATTTGAAATTTATATTTGTAAATTATCCTAAATTCAGAAAAAAAAACTTTTAAAACTTAGTACTACAAATCATCATTTGCCAATAAACACTGGAAGATGGTATGGCATACCACTTTCTGAAAGAATTTGTACACTTTGTAATAATGGTCAAATTGCTGATAATTTTCATTATATTCTAGAATGTAAAGCTTAAGCTAATATACGAAAAAATATCTGGGTAATTCTTATTCTCATAGACCGAATGTTATTAAAAGTACGGAATTAATGTTAACTCAAAAACGAAAAAAATCCTGAAAAAATTATGTATGTTTATCTTTAAAGTTTATCATTCTGTCTGTCCTCCTTGATATATTTCCCATTTCCTTTATTATTATTTCTCTTTCCCTAATTTTATACCATATTTTGTATTGTATGTGTATAGTTTTTGTACCTCTGACCAGTTTGAAATGTATGTTTGTTTTAAATGTACCCCATGTACCAATACTTATTTTGAGAGAATAGATCTAAACTGAACTTGAACTTGTCTTTGTACATTTTTTGAGGGGTAAATGCAAGGTACCCTATGTTGAAAAAATAAAAGATAAGCTCAATATTAACACCTTTACACACTATAGTTTTCTCAATGTCCAAAAAATATTTTCCTTTAGTGTATAGATGGTCCTTAAAGGTCACTACACTATTTACCAGAAAAGTTTAATGGAATACCATGAACGTAGACTTCATGACCGTATGATCTGGTCGGTGGGGAGGGGGTGGGCTTCAATAATTTTGCAGATATGTAGTATACTACAGAAAACAAAGCTACTTTATGAATGTGCCCTTTCAATAATTACGTCTGAGGACTCCCCCTCCCCCCTTTTTTGCTTGTCAAGGACTGTTTTGCGTTTGGTTCCCCCACCCCCTCCCTTCCCTAAACTGAAATTCCTTCCTACGGGGACTGGACTTAAAATCTTATTATATTATTATTATAGGTATAATGCTCCGTAACTCTTCGTGTCTGTGTGTGTGTCCTCTTAAATTACTGAAAGAGGCATATCTTTTCCTCTTATTTATCTGACCTGACAACAAGGCTGACGAAGCTACCAGGAAGATTAAACATCAAACCGAAAGTTGGATAAAATGCTGAATCACCTTCTCAGTATCCCATAAAATTACGTACGTAACAGTTCCTACGGTGATGAAAATAATTTGAATATATACTAAAGCTAGTTTGTCTTTATATTTTCTACATTAATTATTATCATTCTGTCCAAGCATTAGTTATGACAATAGTGCGACACTAGTGTTACATGTAGCTCATAATTTTGTAATCTATCGTTATTCCTTAGTGTTAATCAGAGAAATCAAAAGAATTTAGCTTCCATGGAACGAGAAGTTGGCTGAGGTCAATAACATACTATGTGATGTAGTGTTTTTCATGACCCAGAAATATACATATGCATTTGAACAGAGGAGTGTCCCTACGAAATAAACTATATTTTCTAGCTGTTTTTATATATTTTTATGTAAAATTCTTGGAGAAATGTATGAAAAAGGCTGCTTTTAAAATACGGATGAATACCCATGTGTTTCTATTGTCTGTGTTTTACAGGTTTGACCAGAGCCTAGCTTCTGAAAAAGCAATGGCCACTGCCACCACCCAGGCACAGGAACTCATAACCTGTGACCTTTGTATCAAACCTGTCCAGCAATTCTGTAACAGCTGCCAAGTCGGTCTTTGTAAAGATTGCATCAATAAACATGTCAACAGTCTCAAGTCCATGAAGCATGACATTGTTCCTTTCACAAAGCGTACAGTACAGCTTGTGTTCCCTCAGTGTACATCTCATTCCCACCAGAGATGCGAGGCCCACTGTCAACAGTGTGATGTCCCAGTCTGCATCAAATGTCTCACTGGTCCTAAACATAAAGGCCATGAGTTTCATGACATGGCAGATATCATAGCTACAAAGAAAGAAAATATTAAAAAAGAAACTGAGGAAATTGAGGCCATTATTCCAAAAAACACAGCACAGGACAAAGGCACAGAAAACAAAATCTCCAAATTCATGGCTCATTATGCAGATTTACAGAAACAGACCAATGATCATAGAAATCAATGGCGCCTAGAGGTGGACAACATCTTTAACAAAATGGTATCCCTGATTCAGTCACTCAGAGATCATCATACTACAACTCTAAAATCATGTCAGTCCAAACTCAGAGGTCAGAATTCCAGTATGAACCCATCTATTCAAGAAAACAAAGAAATCCTGAAGTCCAACAAAGTTTCTGATGTCAACAACTACCAATCCAAACTGAAGGAATACAGGAACATTCCACAAATACCTGATTTACCATTGCCCTCTCTTCAAACAAACACAGTCCAAGGGAGAGAACTCAGTATAGCATTAGGAGAATACAAGGCTTCACTGACACAGACATCACTATCCAGTCTGACAGATGAAGTCTCCTTTTTATTTGTTAAGGAATTATTGGAAGAAGCCAAAGTGATTGCAAACATTCCAACAAATGTTAAAAACTTATTTAAAGTGGCCTGTGTAGGATCAGATAAAGCTTGGATTAGTGGTGAAGACAAAATGATAACCTGTGTGGACATACATGGAGCTGTGCAAGACACTGTCTCCAATGCATGCAATCAATACCCTAATGACATTACAGTGACCAGACAGGGAGAACTGATATACAGTGATGTCAACAGAACTGTGAACATTGTCAGAGATGGGAAGACAGAGACACTGATCACCACACCATAGAGCTGGCTTCCATCAGGACTCTGCTGTACCAGGTCAGGGGACATCCTAGTTAGTATGGTTACTACTGATTTTAATCATCGTAAAATAGTCCGTTATCAGGGACAGAGAGTGACACAGGAAATAGATAAAGATGAACATGGTGATCCAATCTGGTGGAGAACAACAATGGAGACATAGTGGCCTCTGATTGTAATGCTAGAGCAGTGGTAGTGGTGGACAGGACAGGAAAAGTCAGATTCAGATACAATGACAAACCTCCAGGTAGAAAGGAATCATTCTGTCCTACACAAATAGTGTTGTGATTGATGAATTCAATAACTGTCTACACATCCTAGATCAGAATGGACAGTTCCTGAGATGTGTGGATAAGTTTGAAGGATATAAACCTTTTGGACTGAGTGTGGACAGTGAGGGGAGGTTGTGGGTAGGATTGTACAATTCAGGGGAAGTGAAAGTTATACAGTACATGAAATAAACATCAAATGTTTATTCCTTTCGAAATATATGTGCATCATGAATTCATTACTGAATTAAACATAACAACTCATATGATTTTCATTTCATGATATGACTTTATCTGAAGAAGTGATCATTTGCAAAATGATTTTTATTCTTCTTATTAAAATGTGTTAACTTTATTAAACAAGGAATTAAATAGACTGAATTCATTTCAATATTCAAAATTGTATTACAACATCTTAAATCTAAATACAGAGTAGATTTGTGTGGAAAATTTATTCTTTGTGTTTCTACATAATATAATGAGAGAAAAAAAATCATTTGAAAAGAAGACAAGTGTATGATAATTAGCATGCAAAATAATATGCACAGATGTGCCCAAATGATATTATTGCAAGCTAAGAAAAAAATCAGATATTGGTTCTGTGAAAACAGATTCAGGCCATAGAGATCAACTGAAGTATTTGGGAATGTGAAGACATTCTGATTGTAAATGTCATTTAAAATTGGCTAAAATTAGTAATTATTTCATGTAAAATTGCTTTTACTTTAGAATATTACTATTAATAATTATGTAATTCTATTTTACTTGAAATATGAGGATCCAATGCATCTTACAGAAATCATGACACACATCAGCCCTGAAGGGAGATAATTAAGAAAAAGTAAAAATTGGGTGGGATTAGGGATGGCAATGAATATTCGAATATTCATTCGATGAGTTGATATTCGAATATAAATTTAAGATTCGAATATTCAGTTTTTTCCAGATTTCATGAAAAGAAGTACGTGATTAATAAATTTTGATTAGAACAGTGCTGGGATTATCCCTGTTTAATTTACTAGCAATCAATTTCGATCGCCTGATTTCTTTCACTACTTTCTTATCTTATAGATTTACTAAATTACATGTATTTTGTTTTGAGTAAGGTGTTAAAAAATTGTAATATAATGCTTTAATACGTATAATACAACACGTACTTTTATAGTTTTTTTAGTTATGATCGGATCTAGAATCGAGGACAACAAAATGAAATCTTAGAATGTCTAAAAGGCGTGAAGAGTATAAATTAATTGATAATTGAATGGATGTCCGATAGAATTAGTCTGTAATTAATACTGTAAAGGGCTTAATTTCAGAATAAATGTATAAATTACTTGATTATCTCAGGTTGTACATAATCCTGAATTTTATATTCATTATCAAGAAATTAGTTAATTATCTAGGAAAATTGTCTATAGAAATATTTGTTTACATTGTATCAAAGATTATAATGATATCTCTTATTAGGCAGATAATTGTAATTCATTACACGTATTGAAATCTGAACAGTATACCGTTGCCTTTAGTAAGACGACTGGTTCCTCAGATGGAGCTACTATAAATGCACGTTTCATTTGTTAAAATTATACTTTTCTACGTTTAAATCAATTATTTATTTCAAACATTGACAAATAACAAATAAAATTTCTTATTGTACACCTACAAAAGTCTTCATACAATTTTTCTTCCAATATAAGTATACCTACGCTTAACCTTTCATGATGCATATTTAAAATAAAACAGATTTTATTTATTTTATCGAATATTCAAATATATTTGAATACTTTCATTGAATATTCAAATATGAATTATTGACTAAATTGACATCCCTAGGTGGGATCATTTAAATTTCCTCATCACAAGAACCACTGGTCCAGGAAAGATGAAATTTATAAAGCAAGTTTTTAAAGTGATCAATTTATTGTTCTTTAAACTGCACCAAAGAGAATTTTCATTGCACATACAGAACCTGACCATTCATTCCTGGATCTTGGTTTTTAAGAAGTGACACACTCAGTCTCCCTACTCTCTGGAGATTAGAATCTTTATGATAAACAATCACAGACATGAACACATTGTCAGGAAGCCTGGCCCCTAGAAGTCTTTCTCTGGTGTTTTCAACTACAGTTCTTCTGCATGACTTGTTAATTTCATGCAACAGTACAATTGTTTTCTTGGTCAGAAATGAACACTTAGAGCAAACCATGACTTCTGTTTCATCTGTATTGGTATAACAACCACAATCTTCTTTCTTTGTAGACTCAGATATTGAGTCATTACATGGACAGCCGGAACACTTTTCATATTGATGTGATGTAATTTTGTTCATTATTACAGAGATGTTATCAATCTTGGATGCTATGTCTGGTTCCAATCTCGGGGGTGACAAAAAAAATACAAAACCAGATTCAGAGCAGCTTGGAGATTTTTCTGAGGACACCTGTAAAACAGACACTGGGTGAACATAGAAAGAAACTAAATAAAAACATTAAAACAATGTCTTATTTTTCATTCAAATGAGGAACCAAAATTGGTCCATGGCACAGAATAAATAATAGTGATAAATAGCTGCTATGGCTGAGTATAATTACAAATGCATTGGAACATTGTTTTCATAAATTCATAAAGAAAGTTTTAATCCAGATAATGCATTTTATATTTACAATACAAATAAAATCAAACATTATTCAGTTTTCAAGGGCTCATAAAAATAACAAAAGGATCCACCCTAATATTGTATTTTTCATTCTAAATTCTTTTGTTTAGAGCTTTACATTATAAAACCAGGGTTTGTACAGACCATGAAAAGTGATTGACAAAAGGAAAGTAAAAATTGTCTTGATTTACCTTTTTATAGCCTTACCAATTAGATAATGTTGAAAAAAAAACATAAATGAGAGGTTAAATGAGCTAAAGAAATCAAAATAGTAGATGTGTAATTGTGTCATTTTTTTTTAAATTTGCATGTTTGTATTGTCTAAAAGAGCTTTAAAAAATGGACTTTAATGTGCTGAAAAAGTGCTAAAAGATTCTTAGGCCATAAGAAATTAATAGTTTCTCAGGCCAAAAATTTCAAAATTCAATGTGGCAGGCAGGTTTTATTTTTATTTTTTTTTTAGCAGGTATTTTTTTTTTCATTTCAGTCGTTCAACAAAATGATGATATTACTGGTAACTGATTTTCACTTTTTTGTTCTCTTAATATACTAATTATAATGTACTCAACTTTAAATTATGTTATTCTAAACATTTCTTTAAAAGTTAATTAATAAAGGACTGTATAGACTAGAAGAATATTGTTTATCTAAGAAAAACGTCTATCTATTATTGTTATGAAAAGGGAATTAAATTACTCAATTTTCTTTTCCAACTTGGAAACATAGAAAATTGAGTTATTTCCCTTTTCAAAATGTCAATAAAATTGATCAATGCGGCCGTTTTTGACCTACCAGCAACTTATTGAGCAGTGAAAATGAAGTCTAGTAAACCTTGACACATTAATACCACTATTTATAACAAGGGAGATAACTGTTGACTCACCTTCAGATTTCCTTCTGTGAAGGAGCTTATGATATTCTCTCTTTGGTTTTTTCCTTCCTCAATGAAAATGGATGACAGATTTTCTGCAAGGATAAATTAAATAAAACACTCTACCTAAACAAGGAAAGCTTGTTACTGATCATGATTTGATATTTCACTGAGTAAATTTCTTTATAAAGTTCTGTGATCTGTGTACCTCTTAGTATACCCTCTGCTGCAAATAAGTCTTTTCTGTATGTAACCTGTAAGGATCAATAACACAAAAGGAATAAATTTCATCTCATTATTACATTTACTTAATTTCTAGCAACAAACATATATGAATAAGTAGAAGTGAAACAATACAGCAATATATATCAATACATTACATCATGAGTTATCATGATACTAATTTAATTTGCACCACCAGTATAGTATCATGGTGCTGATCTTTTTAAATTTCTTCTTTAATTAACTCTAAACTAGAACTGTCCAAAATAGACTAATAATAATTAGTAATTATTTTATTAATAAATAATATTTGTTAATAAATAATATTTTATTAATTAGTAATTAAGTTATTGATAATTTTTTTTTTTTTTTTTTTTTTTTTTTTAGAAAAGGTACCAAATCACTAAAGGTATTTTATGGATCTAGAGGTGTTCAAAATTTTTTAACACTGATTGACAGTCAAAGATTAATTGAAATTTAATTACAATTTAATGTGCTAAGCTAGCCTAATAAAACATCAAAATAATAATCATTATATTGTTTTTACTAGTTTGTAAAACTTGATGCATTGCAACCATCTGTCATCTGTCATAATGCTCTGCAATTAGTTTATTGATATTTAAAAAAACTAGAACTGTCCAAAAGGGACAAATACCCCCCGCTGGGTTTTTCAGAGAAAGTACCAAATCACTAATGTTTTCTAGATGTGAGAGGTGTTCACAATTTCCTTAAACATTTACAGTGAAAATTTAATTACTCATTATATATTTTTATACGTCCGTCTTACGACGGGACGTATTATGTTATAGCGTTCATGTTTGTCCATCCGTTAGCTTTTTCATGTCCGGCTCATAACTTTAATACTATTAGGCCTAGAATTATCAAACTTTGTCAGCTGATACATCTAGGGTAGAAGGTGTGTCCCACATTAAAACCAGGTTGCTCTGACCTTTAATAAAGACGCTATGGCCAGATATGGAAAAATCATAACTAGAAAACCATTAGACTTAGAATCAAAAAACTATGTCTTTTAACTTTTAAATTACACAGTCCCAAAAGATGTCAGAGTATTGCAGTATCTTTATTAAAAAAGTGTTAAATCAAGAAAATACTAGTCTTATTTTTTTTCACTATGTTCTTTACAGCAATCTGTAACAACAAAAATTCCACCTCTCCCATGAGTGTAATGATCAGGCACTGGTCAAGGAAAATTTTGATAGCAGAAAATTGCATGTCAAATTAGAGAGAAATTAATGAGTTTAGTGTGAGGAAATAACTGGTAGAGCATCTCTGATCAAGCAGGTGTTATCTACATCTCTTGGGAATTGGGCAAAAGGAATCAGTCTCTTAATTAATTGCTTGTGTTGTATTGAATTGTTCTTGTTGGCTAGTCTTACTTTCAAGATAAATTTGATGTAATTAAAACTAATTTGATATTGTATATAATAATTAAAAGTTATATGATATTGTATAATATAATTTAAACTAATTATTTATTGTACATTTTTTATTTGAATTTTTATATCTTTACAACAAATTGCAGACTGCCTTGTCTTGCTAAGATGTCATTCAAACAATTGAATCTAAACTGTTTATGATAATTTAACAATATTTGATGGGTGTATCATGCTGTGGTGGGGCACTTTATTTAATGAATGAAACTAAGGTGCAGCCTAATAAAACATCAACACTAATAATTACAGTGTTTTTTATTACATTGAAAAAATAGTTTGCAACTATCTGCCATCTTTGTGAGACATGACACTCTGCAAATTGATTGTTGAAAAAAAGAATATCATAATTAATTATAGAAAATCAAATTGATTTTAATACCTTTATATCAAACTCATTTTAAAAATAAAAGGCTGGTTTTAGTAACTATGTATTTTGACAGGCATAAATTACAATTAAGAGACTTAGACAACAGAGATCTTTATTTCTTTCTGTCCAATTCCCCTGAGATATAGATTAGACCTGCTTGATCAGAGATGCCCTAACAGCTTCCCACACTGAACTCATTAATTAATCTTTAACTGGATGCATGTCCACTCATTACTCCCAAGGGACAAATGGATTTACACTATCTGCTGTGTAATGTAAAAACTGTTTTTAATACTTTGTGGGGTTTTTTTAGTTCTAATGAGTAGTTTTAAGCTGTAGTTCACATTTTTGTACAGATGTTCTAGATTCTATGTCTCAAACCTTAGACATGAACCCGAAATGACTAAGTCAATAAATTAAATTAAAAAAAAAACACCTGTAAAATGCAGAAAAATTATCAAATAATGTTGAAAATACCAGGTGCACATCTTCATATGGTAAATAATAAGTGTACAAATTTTCATACAAATCTATGCAATAGTCTCTGGGAACAGATCCAGACAAAACCACATAATAAAAATGAAAAAAACACCTGTAAAATGCAAAATAATTATCCAATCATAATGAAAATACCAGGTGCACACCTTCATATGGTGAATTATAAGTGTACAAATTTTCAGACAAATCCTTCCAACAGTTTTCAAGAAATGGTCCGGACAAAATCTCGTCTACAGACAGACGGACAGACGGACAGACAGACGGACATGCTGATTCCAATATACCCCCCTAAACTTCGTTTGCGGGGGGTATAATAAATAAATAAACAAGAGGCCCAAGGGCCTTAACGGTCACCTGAGTATGATACAACAATTTAAAGGATGTATAGAGTATAAAATGAACTGAAAGGTGAAGCTTTGTTGCCCAAAAGCAAGAAAAATAGGGTGATCATGATCAACAAAATAACTGGTCTTAATATTCATTAACAGTTCATAAATTATGTTCTAATCTGTTCCCCATTCATCACTATCACCATACAACATATTAACAAATTATCAATGCTTCTGTACTATTTTAATCCCTTGTTGAAATCTCTTACATTGGCCTCTCTTGGTCCTTGATGAACATTTAATAAGACAAGCAGACCTGTTTACCCATATCGTTGTCTCTCAGTATTTTTTATTAGATTTGTCAGTGAGATTTGGCATTTGCCCGTAAGATTTCACTTTTCATCAATTTTACATATAAATTTACATTTATATGTAATACCTTTTGGGGCCTCGCCCTACCCTCGGGGGTCATAATTTGAACAATTTAGAATCTACATTACCCAAGGATGCTTCCACAAAAGTTTTAGCTTTTCTGGACCAGTGGTTGTTGAGAAGAAGATTTTTCCTATATATTTCAACGTAAAACTTGGATCCCCTATTGTGGCCTTGCCATACCCCTGGGGATATGATTTGAACAATTTAGAATCTACACTACTTGAGGATGCTCCTACATAATTTTCAGCTTTTCTGGCCCAGTGGTTCTTGAGAAGAAGATTTTTAAAGATTTTTCCTATATATTTCAATGTTAAACTTGGATTTCCCTATTGTGGCCCCGCCCTACCCCAGGGGGTCATGATTTGAATAATTTAGAATCTTTACTACCCCAAGATGTTTCCACATAAGTTTTAGCTTTTTTGGCCCAGTGGTTTTTAAATGACCCCACCCTATTTTTGTCTTTTCTTGATTATCTCCCATTGTAAGGAGACTTGGCCCTTGATTTTCACAATTTAAACTCTCTTTCACCAAAGGATACTTTGTACCAAGTATGGTTAAAATTGGCTCAGTGGTTCTTGAGAAGTTAAAAATGAAAATTGGCTCAGTGGTTCTTGAGAAGTTAAAAATGTGAAAAGTTTACAGACGGACGGACAACGGGTAATCAGAAAAGCTCACTTGAGCTTTCAGCTCAGGTGAGCTAAAAAGCATCATACCTTGCTTTCTTTCGAGGGGTTTTTGTCACTTTTTAACCACCGCGTTTTGGCAACCCAACATCACTGAAAAATTTGAAATCTTTCTCTTTTTTTGTGATTAAAAAGCGTCAAACTGAGACAGATCATTACGAAAACTAACTGTTAAAATCCAATCGAACGGATTTCTCATTTCCGTATTTTCATTAGCAAAACGTGAGACGTATTTTGGACTCAAAATCCGTACAAAATTTGGCGAAATCGTAAGAGTAAACAGGTCTGGACAAGTTATTTTTGTCTCATTTTTATTTATCTACTACTTACAAGTCTATCTGATTATTAAAACTATGAAAGTACTTTTTGTATTATACAATAAAAGTTTTTGCATAATTCTCTTATTCTATCTACCTTTCAAGTACATTTTTTAAAGTGATAAATTATCAAAGGTAAAAAGCAAAGGGGAATAACTCCTCTCAGTAGAATACAAACTAATAGAGCCCTGGCCAGGACCAGAACACTTGACCAAATGGTCCAGATGTTCAAAAATCTGGTAAAAAATTCCCTTCCTTATAAAAACTTTTACTCTGTTTGCCTCAGATATGCCCAGGTGCGAAGAAGAAATAAAGAAATAAAGCATTTTTACTACAGATTCACTATATTATCAATAGAGTCCCCCCCCCCCCCCCCTGAAACACCAGAGCTTCTGACTCTGGGACCATACGTTTGCTCATCATAACTAATCACTTTGTTTACCTGCTTAACACTAAGGAGCAAACAGGATTATTTAATAGAATTATTGCATTTTCACTATATTATCAAGAGCCCCACCCTCACACCAGCACATCTGACCCAGGGGTCATGAAATTCACTAATCTGGAAGATGCACTCTTGCTCATCATAACTATACACTTGGCTTCTTTGCTTTTTTAACCAGAAGCAGAAAAGAATATTTTCAAAGAAATTTTGCTTTTTCACTTTATAATCAATAGACCCCCCCCCCCCCCCCCCCGAACCCTTAAACCTGGGGTCATAAAATTCACAATTTTGGAAGAGGCATCCTTGCGTATCATAACAATGTACTTAGTTTGTTTAAACAAAACCCAGGAGCAGAGAAGAAGATTTTCAAAGAAATAATTCACCTTCACTACAGGATCTATATAGCCCCATCCTAGCACCAGAACTCCTGTCCCCGGGGCCATGAATTTCACAATTTTGGAAGAGGCATCCTTGCTTATCATAACAATGTACTTAGTTTGTTTA